CTGAGACTAAAGAACTCCAGAAACATGTATTTTAATGAAAATCTATGTGAGCACTGCGCATATAACAAATGTTCAGTATACTGGATATTTTTGTAGGTAAAAGTAAAATAGTGTATAGTGAAGAGTGTAGTGTTGGCTAGAGTCAGGCTGCCTAGTTCTAATCCCGTCTCTGTCATTTAAAAGCTGAAGAGCATTAGACAAGTTTCTTAATATTTTTTGCCTTAGTCTTATTTGTAAAAAAGGAAATAAAAAGATACTTATTTCATAGAGTTATTTTGAGGAATAAGTAAGCAAATATATTTTAAACTTCTTAGTAAGTTAAAAATGTTAGATATGACTATTAGTTACTATTATTATTAGGCACATCTCATTTAGATTTAAGAATAAATATCAACTACTTTCATGTTCCTTTTAACCTATAGTTCTGAATCTAGAAAAAATCACAAACATAAGATATTGCTTTTTACTGAGTCCATTCATCCAGTCAGTTAATCAGCCATCCACACCATTCACTCAACATTCAAATAGTATGTGAATTTTCAAACGTATTGAAGTCATTTTTAATTTAAGAAAATCCCTCAAATTATCAGGTCAATCAATGAGAAAATATAATTAACTATTTAGTAGGCTTTAAAATATTCTCAATTTTTATTTTCTTCTGTATCTTTAAATATATACTGAAAGATAAACAAGGACATTTCCTTTTAGAATTCTTAAACCAATTCTCAATTAAGAATGGATTACTCCAGAGAAAAAGACTCTTTTAAAAAGTCTATGATAGAGGTTATTTAAATAAAAGAGAGTACCATATATTCAATACATGTTCCTCTTTTTCTCTATTCTGTCTCTAACTGAGTTAAAAGTTCTTTGGGTTCAGGGATGCACCTGTATACCTCTATCTATCTGTATCTATATATCAATGCCATTACAGAAACATTCAATAAATGTTTGCTGAGCAAATAAGTAAATAAGAGATGTGCATAATTAGCATTGTAGTCTTGATTTTTGGTCAAAGAAAAAAGCAAAGCAGTCATTGTCTTATAAATGTTATGGGTAAACATGGAGCCTAGAAATTTTCTTGGAAATATGTGCTTTAGTTGTATTTTATAAGATATTATTTAATTTAAACATATTTTTTAAAAATTAACATGAAAAACAAATTCTTCATTCAAGTGAAACTTGTTTAAAAGGCCCCATATGGTTAACATCTAACTAAATTTAGAATAAAATCAATTTTGTTAAAAAGTTAGCATCTGATAGAACAATTATTTTCGAGTTTCATATTTTGAATACTAAATTTAACAATCTGACCTTGGATTTTCCTTATTTTTCAATGTCTTCATTGTAAAAAAGCAACCAATACCATTCCATCTCAGTGTTTCTTGCTAAGGACTAGCTAATAAAAGACTTTAAACATTTCGTTATAAAAAAGTGAATTCACCAAAGTGGATATGCTCCATTGTCTTTTGAAAAGTAGTGATTTCAAAATAAACAAGTGCCTTTTGCAGTTCCAAAGAGCATTAACTTGAGGGGAAAAAAACAAGAGATGAAAGAATTGTAAAGAGTTATAAGTTCTTATCTGAGGCTGAATACTGGCTCTTTGGGTCTGGCCCAGGACTTGATCTGGCTGCAGTTTGTAGCACTGATACTGGTTTAGGGCCTATATGTGAATGCTGCCAGTCCAAGATTTCCCCCACTTCTTCTCAGATGACCCCCTTTTAATATAAAAAGATTATTTTTGCAGCATTTCTCCACCTGATAGTGGTGACATATTTGTTATGATGCAATTAAAAAACATGCCACCAAGCGACATTGAATTCAGTATCAATTTAAAATGAGTACATTTTAATAATCATAATAGACTCAATACATTTTTAAGAATAGCATCATATATTACATTTGGTCAATAGATATTATTTAGATTTATTAACCTCTTGAAAAAAATCCCAGTACCTCTCAGACTGGGAATTGCTGACCTGGCTTATGTGTTTAAATCACTTCCTAGTAGTAAAATTCTATATGACTTGAGAATTTTCTTCCCAGACTGTTCTATCATCAAATATGTTTGTGCCTTTAAGAGGAATGATGATTGTACTTCATACTATGTGTGTATATATGTATGTTTAAATGAACGATTAATGAAAATTGTCCCCAATTATTAAAAAAAAGACTTGTGTGGAGGCAGTGGCAAATCTTCCCTGATGCGTCATGATAGAGTCATTCTCGAAAACTAATGGCTAGAAAATTGAGTAAACATAGAACCAATAAAGAAAAGATTTCTTCACACCATCTAAAGGGCACACTGCTGTGGAAATTTTCAGGATAAGCACAGCACTTTTTTCAAGGTAATGATATCTCATGTTTGCAGGCGTCAGTTACAAAGTAAAACTATTCCTCCCCACATATCAATACCATAGAGTTGACTGTTGCAGAGTGACCCCATTCTCCCCAGTGCATTCTCACACATCTTTCTTTTGAGCACAAAGCACGACACTATTTTTGATGAAATGAGACACTAATTAAAACTAATAAGTTTTCTTCCTGTCACTCCGTGCAAGTTCCTGAACCCCTCGCCACGCAAAATGAGGAAATACTCCCAGTTGACACCCTATTCTTTCAAGTTCCGCCTTAATTTTTCAAATACTATTGAAAAGCTATTTCTTTTCCAAATCAATTTTGATCCCTATTGATGCTCTGTAAAACTGTAACCCATTCCTAGAATAATCTTTCTTGATTTTTTTTTTTTAACAATAGGGCAGTAACATGAGAAGACACTTTCTGCCTGATTTCTTGCTAGATTCAGAAGATAGGTTTAGGAGCCCATAATCCTACCTTTCTCCCACTATACATCGATTCATTTAACTCATGACTATTGACCACCTACCAAGGATCACCATCTTACTGAGTACCAGCATCAGTGTTTACTTATAATAATAGGTATTTTTAATGAGCACTAACTCTGTGCTAGGCACTTTCATTATCTTCCTATAAGTTAGATACTATTATCATCCCTATTTTACATATGAGGAAACTGAGGGAGATTAAATTACTTGCCCAAGAGTTCCCAAGCAGACAATCTAAATCCAGAACCCATGATCTTAACCACTGAGGGAAGAATGAAGTATTTGTTTCCAACATGGGGGTTCTGGATATTAAAGGATACCACTTGGGCTGAGTAAGAAAGGGACAAAAGAAAAGAAAAAGAAAAAGAAAACAATAAAAAATAGAAAAGTAGGAATTATCAACATCTATCAGATTTTATTTTCCATTCAAACATGTTTTCAGTACTGCTAAATTGACTCACTGTTCTTAGGCCCTATGGGAGAATACAGTAAGATAATTTAGGTACAGATCCAAGCATATGACTTACAAACAAGATAATGTAATTAACACAAAGTAGTTTTATTAGGTGTGAAGTACCAGATACAGAATTCTATGAGTCTCCTAAAATAAACAATACAGCTGTAAGGGATCAGAATAAAGAGGGATCTCCTGTAGGCTCAAGAAATCCAGGCCATTGAGGAGAACCATGAAAATGAGTAGTATTTCACCACCTCCAGTAAAAGGCAATCTTTCCTCCAAACTGTGACTCCATCAGCAAAGGCAGGAAAGGGGGGGGGGGGAACAACAACAAAAAACAACAAAAACAAAAACAAAGGCATAGTGAGTGAGACAATTTGATAAACTAGTGAGAGCTGAGGTTTAAAAGACTGGGCTCACATTATGGCAGGCCTTGTGCAAAAGGCGATGGGAAGTCACTGAAAGATTTTTGTAAAGGGAAGTGACAGGATTAAGGCAAAATTTGGGGAAGTTAAATCAGAACAGGCTGGTAGATGGTAAATAGCACAGAAGAAAAAAATAATTTGGGACTTTCTTCATACTTACTGGACTTTGAAACCATAAACGCTGTTCCTGTGAAGCAGAGGCACTGAGAAAGCTGATGTAGACCTGAAAGGCACATTATGGCTGGCGGTGGTGGGTTTGAATGAAAGAAAGTCTCTTGAACCACTGACAAACTCTCTGTCTGGCTCCGACGCGCTTTCTCTCTCTCGCTCGCTCGCTCGCTCGCTCGCGCTCTCGCTCTCTCTCTCTCTCTCTCTCTCACACACACACACACACACGCACCCCTC